TCATCACGGTCTTCAACTTATTAGCTATTGTTGAATTTAGGTCTTTTTTTTTTTTTTAATTTTATTTATTTGACAGAGATCACAAGTAGGCAGAGAGGCAGGCAGAGAGAGAGAAGGGGGGAAACAGGCTCCCCGCTAAGCAGAGAGCCCGATGCGGGGCTTGATCCCAGGACCCCGGGATTATGACCCGAGCTGAAGGCAGAAGCTTTAACTCACTGAGCCACCCAGACATCCCAAATTTAGGTCTTTTAAAGAGTAAACTTGCAACATTTTTGAGTCACTCAATGTTACAATGAACAAGTAACTCTGTCTTGAAGTTCATGATATGGCAAAGCATCTCTTTTCTTCAACTGCCTTATTTTAGCCCAGAATGTTTACATATGGATCTAAATATGGTTGGTTCCATATCCTTTTTAGATGGTTTTGAAACAGCTACATTCTTGCCACTATTAAAAGATATTTCCCCATTATGTCAGACTTCACTGCTGTGCTTGCAGTGGTTGAATTTGTCAGATGTGTACTCTCCAGGAAGATGGGGTATGTCTTCATTAAGAGTAGAGAAAACAAATGCACAAAGTGGACAATTACAGAAAAAGACAACATTGGTTATAATCTGAAGATAAGTTACAAAATGATAAAGGGCCTAAGTAATCCTAAAAAATAAGGAACAAGAATCATCCTTTTAAGGAATGTCTATTCAAGTAACTTTTTTTTTTAAAGATTTTACTTATTTATTTGACAGACAGAGATCACAAGCAGGCAGAGAGGCAGGCTCCCCGCTGAGCAGAGAGCCTGATATGGGGCTCGATCCCAGGACCCTGGGATCATGACCTGAGCCGAAGGCAGAGGCTTTAACTCACTGAGCCACCCAGGCGCCCCTCAACTCTTTCTTAAAGTTGAACCCTAAAACTCTTAGTGTCTAGAGATCAAAATTCCTTTATAACTCATGTAACAGATCATCTGAAAGAAGTCTTTTTTTTTTTTTTTTTTTTTTAGGGATAGAGATAATAATGCCATAAGAACAGAAACAGGACATCACTGAATTATTGGAAAGATAAGTGTGCGGAGGGATCATAAGTTGATAATTTTTTTTTTTTAAAGAGAAATTAAGTACAGTTAAGTCAAATTCAGTTGAAAATCCACAGTTCAAAGAAAAAATGTAAAACCTCATGTTCTTAAGATGCTCTTTACTTCATTGGTCTACTTCAAGCCATTTTAGGATAAAAATTTGAAGTATATAACCAAAAGGTCTCCCAACTATTATCAAATGCTTAATTTAGTTCAAAACTTGTTTCTTGAAAGTACCTCAGGAACTGCTGTGGGAATGAGAGAAAAAGGGGGCAAGGTAAGCATCCCTGTACTAACCAGAACTGGTGTTCTAGCTTTAACAGTTTCATTTTTACTGGCTTTATACATTAGACTTCTGAATGACTTTGTTTGAAGGGCTCTACTGCTAAAAATACAAATCTAAAATGACTGATTTACTTTTTATGAAGATTTTATTTATTTATTTGACAGAGAGGAGCGCACTAGCAGAGGGCGCAGCAGGCTCCCAGCTGAGCAGGGAACCCAATTAATGTCGGGACTTGATCCCAGGACCCTGGGTTCATGACCTGAGCTGAAGGCATATCCTTAACCTACTAGGCCAACCAGGCACCCCTGAAATCACTGATTTAGACCTGGGTTATTCATCATATTTGAGAAAGCTGTGAAACTGTATCAGATAGCTACTTTGTAGCCATTAATTGCTAGAGGAATTAGGAGGCTAATCCTACAGTGGGCCAGTTATTTTACTTCTCTTGACCCTTAAGCACTTACTTTCTAAAATGAATAAAAGAAAGGAGTCTTTATTCAAAGGTGGCTGGCCTATAAAATATGATTTTTAGGAATGCAGTCATATGGTCATTATGATACATATTACTGCTATGACAAATGTGGCAATGTTTTAAGAAAATGAGTTAACAACAAGGGGTACCTGGCTGCTCAGTTTGTTAAGTGTCTGCCTTTGGCTCAGGTCATGACCCCAGGGTCTTGGGATAGAGCCCTGCATTCTCCCTTCCCTCTGCCCCCAGCCACGCTTGTCTTACACTCTTTGAAATAAATGAGGACCACACCAATAAACAATTCTAAGAAACTTATTACATGTTGTTCTGCAAATTTCTATTCTAGGAATGGCAGATTATTCAAAGATTATTCAACAAATTCAAAGTGCAGCACAAACCCTTTTAAAGAGGAAGAATTAGGAAAGAAATTAATAAATTCTTTTTTTTTTTTCAAGATTTTATTTATTTATTTATTTGACAGAGAGAGAGAGATCACAAGTAGACGGAGAGGCAGGCAGAGAGAGAGAGAGAGAGAGAGGGAAGCAGGCTCCCTGCTGAGCAGAGAACCCGATGCGGGACTCGATCCCAGGACCCTGAGATCATGACCCGAGCCGAAGGCAGCGGCTTAACCCACTGAGCCACCCAGGCGCCCCGAAATTAATAAATTCTTAACCTCACTTGCTAAACTTATCCCATATTAATCTTACTCACAAGAAAATCTTAAAATTTTGCTCACATTTTCTAATTTCTTAATTATCATTTGTTCAATGTATAAGTTATGAAAGAGAGTTCTTAATATTAACACAAATTCTGTGCCCCTAATGACATTCATTCTATTGAGTTGGTTACCACTCAGAGTAATTTAACTCTTTGTGGTTCAATGTGGTTCTCCTTATTCTGCAAATAACATTCTTACTATTATGCTAGTCCAGACAAATTTATGTAGTTCCCCAATAACTATAATCAAGGAGTTCTTGCTATCTGGTGGATACATAAACATTACAATGAGAAGGCAATCAAAGGTTCCACCAGGACAAAGGAGGGAGTCACATTTCTCACACTTTGTGAACTTTACACTAGACTAAAAATCACGGAAACCTAAAAGTCCTATTAGGCTACAAAAAGTTAAAACAAATAGTTTCTTGTTAATGTTAAATAGCTGATAAAAGTTTTAAGCTTGGTGCTTATATGGTTATGTTTCCCAATATGATAATCTATAGTGTTTACATACTATAAAGTACTACCTAAAATTTTTTTCTTTTTTGTTAAAGTGTATATTTTGACTTACCCCTCCCAGATCCTGAATGTCCTTTTGCAGTTTTTCAGATATGGTGATAGAAGGTAAGTCAATGTAAAATATTTTTCCCCAGAGCGGCTTATATTTGGATTTTTCTGGTTTGTTATCAGTTTTCATAGATTTTAAAGATTTGTTTTTTTCATTTTTTACTTGGATCCCACCTGTTGTTTAAAAAAAATACAGAATTAGATCATGTTTTATGTAGACAGAAAATTTCTACTGTTTTAAAAATATTTTTATACAGTCATCATATCACAGAAGGGGAAAAATCTTTATAATCCCATCAGTTAAAAACTCAATGGCATTTTAATGTATTTCTTTGTAGTACCACTTGGGATAAAAGCAAAATACCATACTTGTTTTAACAGATACTATATCATAAAATAATTATTGTTCTAAGCCAGTAATTCAACTTGCAGGAAGCATTCATGCATTTGTTCATGTTTTTACGTATTATGGTGGAAGCCATCTAAAACCTTTTTGAAAGATTTTCCTCCTTCCTACGTAAATTCCAGAGGCATTTACTCAGAAATATTTATGAAGGATCTATATTCTGTTGAACACTGAAATCGGGCTTAAAATGTTAAAAAACTTGTCAACAGAAGAAACCTGTTACACATGATGCCCTTGTCCTCAAAACGTTCCAAGGTTTAGTTTCCTATAGTTTGTTTATATATTAGAACTAAATGGTCCATTTTAAGATCCAAATCATCATTCACTTCATTATTTCCTTTGAAAACAGACCTGAGATGGAAACAACTGCTTTAAAAATTAACTTTCATAACACAATCTGTTCATACGTTGGAAATTCCTATATATACACGACATATATATTCTAGACATATTAAAAAGAAAAAAAACTTGGAAGCTGTTATGTTTTACCATACAAAGTAGTCGAAAATTGAAATATGCTTTCATTTCTGTCTATAATGCTGAAAACAGCAGTGCTGTGTTTGAAATACAAATAGTATCTCTTAACTTTACGAGTGAAGAAAAATAAATTTAAGAATAAGGCCAAAAACCCACCCACAATCACCCAATTTCATCATAAACCTAAAAGCCACGAGCATCTCTGCTTTCAAATCGAGAATGCAGCCTCAAAGGGCCTGAGCTGAGTCTCAACATCTGTCCGAGGCCCGGGCAGGTCTCAGGTCCGCAAACTGTTTTCTAGTTTTACAACCAACGGCACCCCCGGGAATTTGGGGCCGCGACTGGAGCGTGAACAGCGCGAGGGGCCCGGCTGGGATCCTTCCCTTTTCTGAGAAAAAGCTCTGGACGGAGCCCTCCTTCAGGCCACAGAGAAGGACGCACAAGTCAGAAAAGAAAAGGAGCAGGGACCTGGGGGAAGAACTCTAAAGAATCAATGGTGGAACCACGAGGGGAGAAAAGGATTAAAGGGACTGCAGTGGAGGAGGGGCTTCATACCCTGGAAATGTCCTTTGCTGTGGATCCTCATGGCTCTGGAGTTCATGGCAGTCGCCCGGCATCTACATGCTGGGTTCGGGAGAGGGTCGCGCCAGGCGGCCAAGAAAACACAGCTCCTCGAGGCCGATTTATCAGCCGGTCGCCTCTTCCCCTTCCGCAGACTACCACACCCACGCAACAGAGATGCCGCGTCTACGGTCCGGGTTTCCGGGGCCGGATCCCACTCCGAGGCGCGGAGGAGGAAGAGGTAAAGCAAAAACGAGTGGGCTGCGGCGGTTGAAGATTTGAAAACGCGTCACGCGGCCGCGGCGCCCAGACGCGCGCCCCGCCCTCTCTCACGCCGCTCGCCGCGCCCCGCCTCGCGCTCACCCCCCCCCCCACGTGCCCTCCTCCTCGCGCCGTGCGCCCCGCCCCCACGGGCCGCGTCTCCGCCCCCCGCCCCTCCCCCATGGCGATGCCTTTCAGGCTTCAGGTCCCTGCTCTTCACCCGTGTCTTCGCGTCCCTCCGCTCCCCTAAAGAGCCCTTGTGACTCCTGTTGACCCAACGTAGTGAATGCAGTTAGCCCCGGAGGCTAGTCCAGCCCGCCAACAGGGTCATTCCCGCCGCCCAGGGTCGCCGGGACCGCGTGCCCACCAGCTGCCTCCTTCAACCAGGTACGCTTCTTGCCCGCGGGTCGGCTGCCCGGGAGGCTGAAGGCGTGGCGGCTGCGGCCCAGCTAGGACTCAGTCTCGGGCCGGGCCGGGCCGGGCTGGTTGGCAGCGACAGCCTCTGCCCAGCACGCCCCGAAGCGCGGAGCGAGGTTTTCCTGCGGTCACCGCCGACCTTGCCTGCCCGAGACAGGCCGCAGAGGGACTTCCAGGCCGGGAGCGGCCTGGGCGGGGGGCTGTCGGAGCGGGGGTCCGAGTAGGACCCAGCCTAGAGCGAGTTCAGGTCGCCTTGAGCCGTTGGGTACTGTTTGACTGTGTGCTGCTCCCTTGACCTCTGTTGTACACAGACCTGATCTCGTTTTATTGTGAAGTTTGTTTCAACAATAATAAGAAGTGGAATTTGAAATCTCAAGTCCTAGGGTTTGGGGTCTGGACCTGCCACGTAGCAGCACAGCACGTAACTTTGTGGTTAAATTACCCAATCCCTTTGAGTCCCAGTTTTTTTCACTTGTGAAATGGAGGTAATAATGGGATTATAGTAAGGATTACGTTAAAATATTTTGTAAAGTAAGTCAATTTTGTTTTGTAAGTGGGGAAAAACCGCTTCACAGAATTGTTTTAGGTTTGTTTCTGCTTATAGATTTGCATTAACCCTTCTGCGATTTTGCATTCATCAGCTTTTGTCCATCATAGTCTTTCGTTGTTTAATGGTTGATCTATTTATTTAATTTTTTAAGAGAGGGAGCGAGAGGAGGGACAGAGAGAGAATGTAAAGCAGGCTCCAGGCCCAGCGTGAAGTCCAAACCCTAGCTGAGCTCATGAGCCTAAATCAAGAGTCAGAAGCTTTACGGGCTGAACCACCCAAGTGCTGGTAATGGTTGATTTTTGAACTAATAGAGATGCGAGAAGTTAGTGCCAATATCACTGTTTCACAAATAAGTACTTTATTAAAGCATAGACAAGGATGGATTGTAATAACCCTTAGCCAAAATGGAGACTCCAAAGAGGTAGGAGGTTCAGATTTGCTAAGGGAAATGAGAGTTTAGTTGTGGATGGCTTTTAGTTGAAGGACCTAGGGAGAGAAGCATGGAACTATCATTATTAGGCAGTTGGTAATATTTGTAACTCAGAAGAGACATGGGGGTGGGATGAAAAGAGGAAAAAGATTGATTTGAGAGACATACAGACCTTCAGCTCCGAAATGATGCATAAGGGAATCAGATCTTGAGAGGCAGGAGGAGGTGTAGTTTGAACAAAACATATTCAACATTAGATGTTCTATCTGGGGAAGACAACCTATTTGTAAAATGTAAGACTTATGAATCACAGACCCCTGAAAGAAATAATACAATGTATATTCATTAAAAAGTAAAAATTTTAAAAATGTGAACTACAGGGCGCCTGGGTGGCTTAGTGGGTTAAAGCCTCTGTCTTCGGCTCAGGTCATGGTCCCAGGGTCCTGGGATAGAGCCCCACATCGGACTCTCTGCTCGGCAGGGAGCCTGCTTCCCCCTCTCTCTCTCTCTGCCTGCCTCTCTGCCTACTTGTGATCTCTGTCAAATGAATAAAATCTTTAAAAAAAAAAAATGTGAACTACAGAAAGAGCATAAGATTTTTTGTTTATAAAAAGCTTTAAGATTGAGAAACGTGGATGTAGAATGTAGTTAACGTCATGGAAGGAAATGAAATTGCCTGGGAGAGCGTATGAAATAAGAGAAGCAGTGATGAGTAGACAATGATGAAATAGTGAGAAAGATGGAGAAAAGGCCAGAGAGTTAGGAAGAGAACTGGGAACAAAACTTATCATCCAAAGTCACAGAATTAGAAACATTGGGATCATGCAGTCTTTACTATCTGGCTTTGGGTAGTTTTGAGTCTCAATTTTAATCTAAGAAAAGGGGGTAATTAATACTTCCGATGTGAGGATGAAATGAAACATTTTTGAAAGCTTAGTTAGTATACACAGTGAGAGCTCAGTGAGTACTATCCTTCTAGTGACCTCTGCACCAGCTCCTCCATCTTCAAGAATTAAAAAAGGCCAAGACTTGAAAAATGGGCCTTTGATTCTAATGTTTAAGATGTCATTGTTTTCCGGGGCACCTGGGTGGCTCAGTGAGTTAAACATCTGCCTTTGGCTGGATCATGATCTCAGGGTCCTGGTGTCAAGCCCCCTATATTGGGCTCCCTGCTCAGCAGAGGCTCTGCTACCCTCACCCTCTGCCTACACCCCTTCATGCATGCTCTCTCTTTTCCCCTCTCCCTTTCTTTCTCAAATAAATAAATAAAATCTTAAAAAAAAAAGATGTCATTTGTTTCTTTAGGAGGATTTACATATATGACTAAGATCTAAGTACTAGTTAAGAACAAGGGACTTGAGGAGACAGTGTACTTTTGAGAAAATTTGTCAGTGTAGGGAATTATAGTGATAGGGAGGATAGGGTCTTTGGAAGGTTTAGGGGATATGGGAAAGATTTAAACATATTTCTATTGAACGTTAAAAATGAAAACTCAGGGCACCTGGGTGGCTCAGTTGTTAAGCATCTGCCTTCAACTCAGGTCATGATCCCAGGGTCCTGGGATCGAGCTCCACATTCCATCGCATTGGGCCCTGGGATCGAGCTCCACATTCCATCGCATTGGGCTCCCTGCTTAGTGGGAAGCCTGCTTCTTCCTCTCCCACTACCCCTGCTTCTGTTCTCTTTCTCGCTGTGTTTCTCTCTGTCAAAAAAAATAAATAAAATCTTAAAGAAAAAAAAATGAAAGCTGACTTTATGTTCCAGTGAAAGCTGAGTTACCTTTCATATTTATTATAATGAGGAAACAATAACAAAGTTGTTTCCTAGCTTTTAGATATACCCTTAACTGCATTGTAGGTGATAATGCCAAGCTCTGAGTAAGCAGAAAGTCTGTTTTACTGGTCAATAATTTTCTAATCTGTAATTCAAGGTTAATTTTTAAAAATATTACTGGAATTCAGATCTTTTAGTAGGTACAGGAAAGACTTGGTCATGTATCTATGGCCTGGATGCATGGAAACCCCCTTACTTATCATGTCAATAATCAGGACTGTTGGTAAGATAATAAAGTTTATGTTAAAGTATATCTTAAAGTATGCTTCAGGTGAAGGATATACATTTAAGAAGAACTGAATGGGGTAGGGGGCAAGGTTATTTGTGGTGAGACTTTTGTTTAAAGAGTTGTATTAAGCAAAGTTAGAAAACACTGAGCAGAATCATTGTCTAAGTAAATGAAAATTTGGCTGTAAATCAGGAGAAATGAATTTCATTCAATACTGGCTCTATTCCTAAGAAGTTTTATTACCTTGGGCAATTTTACCTCTTATAGTACATCATAAATGGAGACAGTTGTCTGCTTAGTCTGCCCCATATCTTTTTGTGGTTACCAAATGAGGCCTAATCTGCTTTTTCAGACTACCTCACACATATATCCAAATGTGAGTGTTTTGTTCTGGGCACATTTTCCTATTGTCTTTCTTTTGCTTAAGCCTCTCCAACTGTTCCTCTTCCCTGTTCATAGCAAGCCCCATAGCTTAGATTGAGCTTTATCTCCTGCTCATTTGGGGCTTGATGTATTATTACTATTTGATTTATATGCTAACTATTGATATATTATCTTCCAAAATATGTTCTCTTGGTGTTTTTGTTTGTTTGTTTGTTTTTAAGATTTTATTTATTTGACAGAGAGAGAGAAACAGAGAGGGGACACAAGCAGGGGGAGTGGGAGAGAGAGAAGCAGGCTTCCTGCCGAGCAGGGAGCATGCAGGGCTTGATTCCAGAACCCTGGGATCTCCACCCGAGCCAAAGGCAGATGTTTAATAACTGAGCCAGCCAGGTGCCCCTCACTTGCTATTTTTTAAATTTAAAATTAATTTTCACATCTCCTAGTCTTAATACCCTGGTGAGTTGGAGGACCTAACGGTCTTCAGTGGTTGTTAGTTTTGTAGGCTAAGCATATGAAAAGATAGCTGTAGCGCTGGAGTCCCTGTCTCAGGTAATGGTGAGCTCAGAAACCGGGGAAATTCAGTGTATCAAGACCTTGAACACAACTTCAGTGAAGGGTGAAAAAATGCAGAATAAACAAAACAGGAGGATTCAGAATTTGAAAGTGGGTTCAGACAATATGATTTGCAGGTCACTATGGCATCTGTGGCAATTGTTAAAGATAATGAGTTGGTTTAGAGGTGATATGTCATTCTGAACTAGAGGGTAAATTCCTTAAGGGTGGTAAAGAATACATACTATGTAGCCATGACTATAAAATAATCTACCTGTTAATCCCACTTTCTTCTTTCCTTCTGCATTGATTGAGCACCTGCCACGTGTTATGCTCAGTGAGATTGGTCTACATAAGACCCCATAGAAATCTCATTATTTTAAAATTTTAAAATAAGTTCCTTTTTATATTTCTTTTAAATATTTTATATTTTATTTTATAATATAAATATTTATATTTATATATAAATATATTTATTTTTATATATTTATATTTATATAATTTATAATATAAAAATATTATATTTATATTTCTTTTAAAATAAGTAAATTTTAAAAGTTTCTAATAAAGTAGTCCCTTCTTATCCCAGATTTCAGTTACCCTCTATCAATCATGGCCCAGAAGCAGATGATTTTCCTTCTGACCTATTGTCAGAAAGTCAGTAGTAGCCTAATGCTTCATTAACCTCACTTTGTCTGATCTCGCAGGCACTTCGTTATCTCACATTATCACAAGAAGGAGGTTGAGTACAGTAAGATATTTTGAGAGGGCAACATTAACATAATTTATATTTTAATATATTATTATAATTGTTCTGTTCTTATTTACTGTTAATTTCTCTTTTTTGTTTGTTTACTGTTAATTTGTTAATGTGATTTATTTTCTGATTTCTTAATGTGTTAATTTCTAATTTATAAATTAAGCTATCCTATCGTAGGTGTGTGTATATAGGAAAACAAATACGTTGAGTTTGTTACTGCCTGGGGTTTCAG